ATTATTCTATTTTTTAGAACATAAGATAATTATTCAAAAGTATTCAGTGTCATAACTACATATTTGACGTTTATAATAAATCAAACCGTTTGAAAATCGGTTAAAAATTGAGCACGTTATGGCTATTTAAAAATTACATGTTTTACTATCAACACAATATTTTGGGTGAGCGAGCAGCCTGTGGTAAGATGGCCGCCATATGCGGACGTTCGACTCCGTTGGCCAGCAACGCAGACGAGACATCTAGTCATTCTATAGATATCTATGGGCCCACTAACAGCAAACATGTAAAATCCAAGGAAAATGTTACATTCGCGGTGCGAAAAAATACTATTTCCGCTACTGAGCTGTAAGTGAATTGCCTAATTCCTATTTCATGGTCCAAGATAGTTTCAGAAAGGTCCTATCATCAATAGAACCGGCGAGCTCCTTTCAAACACCAGCTGCGATATACTTCAGCGTATCATACCTTTTGTTTTTGTTAATAGGCAATAGCATTAGGATACCGCTAATCCATCAAAACAACAATGAGACAGTCAGTAATTCTCACAGCAGCGGAGTCGGTGACCCCCAAAAAGCCGTAAAAACCATAATACAGCCGTGTTTATGTCATATGTTTTTGTGCTTATCAATTTAAGTATTTCCAGAAACTAATCTTAATCTCACAACAGTAATAAAATAAAAGCCTTGCTTTAACATAAATACTAAAAGAATAGATCGCTTTAATCGCTATTACAGTTGGGTATGGGCACGCGGTCTTATTTAGAAAAGATACAAAAAGAGACGCATATAAAGTTTATTCATTCGTTTTGTATTTGTAGAAAGTAACAAAGCAAAGGAATGATAAGCCGCTTCAGTCGAAAACTGCATTTTACTTCTCATTTTAAATAAAATGCAGGGTTGGCAACTTTGGTCAGCTGCGTGAAGTTAGATTTTCTGTTCTCTGTTCTGCACACACATTTACATGTATGTAAGTTTTATCCCTATAACGCCAGATGCATCATATTTGATACAAATATTTCTATGACCTCTACGTCAGTAATAGGATTACCCCTTTCCTCAAAAACCCGTTGTATATAATCATATAACTGCATGTCTTTTACCCCCTGGTGGATGACTTATGTACTGCAGGTGGAAAACGTCTCTTTTTTTTAAGAATCAAAGACGGCTGCGCGCAGGCTGTAGCCGGCAGGATTTTCACGGGATAAGAAGTCCTATTTTTGGAACAGTTACCGTAGGCGCAATTTAGCGAAAATTGATTATATTTCAATATATTTCAAGCCTTTATTAGTGTGAAACAACTCATAATAACTTAATATCATGAAATATTTTATTGAAAAACCTTGGTGAAAATTGTGTATCAAATATGATACTATGGGTATGTAAATGTATTTTATTTGTCAGTGCATCAATTGTTGTTTTAGTCAATTTCGTGATTAAATTTGTATTATTTATACCATAATACAAACAACAACTAATATATTACTCAATTTAAGCTTGAGTATTTCTTCTAGTACACATTTTGAGAAGAATTTGACATTTATGCTGATCGCAAATAGTCAATATATAGTTTGTAAACGTAACGATGTATTCTTTGTATTATTCTGATTTGTATATTTAGACAGCAAAAAAGTACAGTGTAGAAGATATCTTGAATATGATAATTGATGGAAACCTGGAGCAGTTAGGGGAGAAAGATGATGACAGTAGTGAAGAATGGAGTCCTAAGGGAGTGCCTAATAAAGAGGGATCAGATAGTAGTGATGAAGATATGAGTGATGAAAGTGTAGAAGAATCAGACACACCAGTACAGTCAAAACAAAGCACAACAGAGCAGTCAGCAGGGCAAAGTGAAAAATAAAGAGTACAGGTGGAGAAAAGTGCCATTTGATCCTCCAAATATTGAGTTTGATGGATATGTTGATGTCTCTGTAGAAAGGTCAGAATGGACTCCCTGCATGTATTTTAATCAGTTTATTACTGATTAAATGATTCAGGAAATTCTGCTGTGCCTCTTGATATGAGAAAGGATTGTGTTGACCATTTACCAACATGTGAAACAAGACAGAAATGCCCAGGAAGCTACTTCTCACATATCTACTGTGCAAGATCCAAAGTCAACCTTTGTCTACTCTAAACAAAAACAGAAATTTTTGGCCTTCCATGAAAAGTAAGCATGAGAAATCACCCCACACAAAAGATGAACCACTGCCATGCCTCTAGATGTGATCAATGTGAGAAAAGATGGCCACTGACCATTTACTAACATAGGAAACAAGACAGAGATACAAGCACTGCCCAGGAAGACAGAAAGAAAGCCCAAAAATGTTGCAAAATACTCATAAAAGTTGTCAAATGCTGTAAAACATGTTTAAGTATGCCAAGTGTTTTGTAAAGGCACACAAATGTATCTTTATGGTTGACAAAATATGATCTGTACATGTCCAGAAATACCTGTTGTATCAAATATGATACAAAAAGAAAAATGGGATATCCAGGTCATATCTCAAATTTTTTTTTTGTTTTGTTAAAAGCATCCAGAAAACAGTTCAGTCTCTGAAAATTAGGATTTTCTGGCAATTATTTAATAATAATGCAGGCTTTACAGGGTTATTACCTTGTAAATAGTCTGTAGGGTTTGCAAACTACCATAGCGTTTTTGACGTAGCTAATTTTAAGTTCAGAGTGGAATATAGATTTGCCGTAAGATTTCTTGCATGAGAGTCTGAAAGAGTTTGCAACCCTGAACACATACATTTTTTGTTTCACCTGAATTGATTTGCATAGAAAATAACCATATACAGTTGTTAAAAAGCGGAAATAACCAATAAGCGACTTCTATTTATTCAACATTTTATAAAATGCATACTACGTTAAAAAAAAATCCAGCTTTACGGTTTCAGGATAGAACTGTCACATTCACGTCCAGGGAGGAGGCGAGGAATAATGGGTAGGAGACGAGGATCAGCAAAGTAAGGGGCTTTAATGGGGTTTAAAACAACAAAATTGAGCAGACCAGGGGGGTATTCCAGAAAGCTTGGTTAACTTACCATTTGGTAAATCTTAACCTCTGGGTTGATATACCCCAAACTCGCATACCATGAGTATGTCGGTTCCAAAACACCTGAGAAGAGTAAGTTCAATCAACCTCCTACTGGTTACCCAGAGTTAATGCGCGTGCACCGTGCATAAATAAAGACGTTTTC